GGCGCCCACTCTGACTTGTAGGAGCGAATGCCGAGCTGTTCGTCGGGGGAGAGATTTCGGAGTAGAGTGGTGTACGCGAGAAGATATTCGTGGTAATATTGGTTCTTCTCTTGGAGCGACCAGCTGCTCAACGAGAGCGGCGCTGACGGAGGTCACTGCTGATGGTGCAGTGGGTGTTGCTGGTGGTGGGCCCGGAGAATCTGCAGTGGCTTTCCCTTCTGGAGCCATAGTAGTGCAGAGTTTGTAACGATGTAATGAATCATTTATAAGGAGGTTGTTCTAGCAAGAACAAGAACTTAGCAGGCCTTATAATCCACTCTAGCTCTCATACCATGATGTTATAACTGAAGGATCGCAGTGGATAGGATAAAGCTGCTAAGTATAAGTGAGAAAACTGTTAAGTCTCTGTAATGACCTTGTTGATAAGTTGAGACAGAACAAGATGATTGTAAGGTAGGAGTACAAGAATATAAATAGCAATCCTAGCTAGCCATATACTCTGAGGGGTACATTCCCTTATTAACCGAATTACATTGCTACAATAACCACGACTATTGCCATTCTAGACAGTTACCATGTTGCACTTCGCAACTGCCTTGTGCAGTTACTGGGCAGTCAAGGGTCACGACCGTTGACTGTCTTCGACTGTTGACCTTCGGGTGACCCTCGACCTTCCGCGTGCTCTATATGAGCTAATGCGGTACTGATACAGGCGCCTACTTCGTTATGAAGTGACGCGAGAGTTGGAGAGCCTTCACGAATGCTTATAATAACCTTGCGGTTATTTCAACACACACCACGGAGTGGATCTCGCCCTGTCCTTGATTCTCTCGTCTGGGGAGCAGCGCTTTGTTTGTCAGGATAGTGTCAAGTCAATGTACCGTATCGCCCCGGATATAACCGCAGGCCTATGTTGAGCGCATGCGCTTCTATCTAGAGTAATGTGGTTATGGCCGATCCTCAATTAGAAGCGCACCCTCTAAAAAATCGTTACGTATTATAAGCGCACCCGTGCTGTATAACAAGAATTTATGTTGAAGTTTTTCACTTTATTTACAACCTACATCCAAGCTACACTTCTCTAGCAAAAAAAATCAACTACAACTTTCCAATCAAATACATTTAACTTGAATACTAGCCTACACACCATTTTCAAGATTAGTTTAGCCTAAGGCCTACTCATCGTCCGATTCAGGCTCCGTGGAGTTGTTGCCAAAGAACCTGTCTGCTTGGATGTCGTCATCTACCTCTACCTGCACCAGTCCGTCTTCACTCCCGTCAAGGGCATTGCTGATGCCGCAGGTGAGGAACGCTTTCTTAATCAGGTCGGCGGGCACAGCTTTCCACGCCCGTGAAATCCACTTGAGCACCACCTCCGGAGGTGGTTTCTTGATGTTCCCTGCACCACACACACGGGGGTGGGAAACACGTGAGTCCAGAAGCAAGCAAACAAGCAGACGAAGCGGTCACGGGAGAACACTTTGCGTACCTGCGGGTGTCAGGATGTTCATGCCGTCCTGCTCGAACCAGGTCTGGTACTGCTGCCGAACACTCGCCTTGAAGCTTTTGTTGATCGACACATCGAGGGGCTACAAGTCTGCCGTGCATCCCGCCGGGATGACCGCCGTCACGATGTTGAGTTTTGCGAATTTCGCCTTGACTTCGGGTGTCAGGTGGCAACGATAGGAGTCGAGCACCAGCATGGCACTCCGGCTCTGCAATCCGAACTTCGGTTTCAGGAATGGCACCACGCCTGCATCGAGCCACTCGATGACGCCCGAGGCCTCCATCCACCCGTTAGCTTCGCAGCCGATCACGACATCTGCATACAAGCAAGCGGTGGTTAGATTTGAGTTTTGTTTTTCCCCTTGGATACACGCACATACGCAGCTTCTTACCGTTCGAGAAGTCACCCGTTGGGAGGGTCTTGCGCTTGAAAAACACCCACGGCTTCAACTTCTCGCTCGTCGCCGTGCACGCCAGCATCACAGTGACTCTCTCTTTCTGGTAACCACCGCCGCGGATGGGCACCGACTTCATGCCCGTCTGCTCCACCGTGGTAGTCGCCGGCATCTTCAGCCACAAAGGCGTCTGGTCGGCATTGATGATGTACCGATTGTCGATGTCGTACTCGTGGCGTGCGTCGCGGACAAACTGCCAAAATTCCTTGCACTGATTCGCCATGTCTGCACACGGGGAGGGAGGGACGGTTAAAAGGGCGGATGAGCACTGCTACAGATAAACATACATGGGCAAGAAAGTACAGAGATACAAGATAAAAATTCACGATAGGATGACAGTGCACGGACAGGCACTTACGCTGCTGTGTGTGTTTTGCGCCACCTTTGTTTTCATGCGCACGGTGAGATTCCACCGCTTGCGGAACCGCTCCGTCCAGCGCTGACTCACCTTCCACTTGACGTCCGGGAACAACACCTTCATCACCTCTTTTGACCAGTCTTGCAGCCGGCCAACTGATACTGCCACACCGCGGCGTCGCCAGTCCAGGAGTTGGGCGTACACCTTCATCTCCATGGGTCTGTACCAGGAAGACCTTCCGCGCCCATGAAGTCGACACCAAGCGCTGTGTGCAGCCTTGAGCTCCTCCGCTTGGTTTTTCCACTCCGTGAGGCATTTGCGGTGTATGCCGGACTCCCGCGCGACCTCGCTTATCGATGCCGCAAGCTCCAGCCGAACGAGCCACTTCAGTTTCTCCTGGGCGGTGTAGCGCTGCCGTTTGTGTTGAGTCGGCTTGTGCCTGGGAGATGGGGGGCGGGCATCTCGGTTCTCAGAGGAGGGGTGGGGTCGCTTTTTGTTAATCGGCGGATACGTTGGTATCGGCATCTTCTCGCGTGGTGCGTCGCGCCACCAAGATTCCACACCGTCGTTGTCCGCGTCTGTAGCATCACGATCTGGGAACACGTCCTCCTCGGCGCCCTCTTCACCGTCGACTCCACCGTCGCCTCCACCGTCGCCTCCAGCGTCGCCGTCGCGTGTGGGTTGTTTATCGGCGGCCACGTCATCGTCGGCGCCCACATCCGACTCGTCCCATGTGCAAGCTTCAGGATTTCCCCACCGCGGTGCAGTCGGCAGAGCATCGATTCACTTAGCCTTGGGTGTGTCCAGTTCAGACAGCCACTCGTCAAAAGTGGCTGGCAAATACAGCTGGAGCACGGGCCGTTGGTGAGAATTCGCATGAGGAACAGGAGGACTCGGAGGATTCGGAGGAGCGGGAGGAGCAGGAGGAGCAGGAGGTGCAGGAGGAGCAGGCGGTGCAGGGGGTGTAGGTGGCACTGGAGGCGCTGGTGGCTCACGGGTATACCACCCGTCCGCGGTAAGTCGCCACGCGCGAGTTGGTTTCTTCTTGAAAAGGAAGTGCGTCCCACTGAATTCCGCCATGGCTTCGCCAGCCAGGCGGGCTAGACTAGAAACTGAATGAAAAAAATGAGGAGCAGGGTGCAGAAATGGGCAACGACGGGGACCCCTGCGGGCTAGCGGCTCGGGGTCCTCGTCAATGACAGGCAGGAAACCCCCGCCTACCCCCGTAGAGGAACCTGCGTGGCAGCATATTCGCTGCGTTGGCAGGGAATCTTCCCCACCCTTCGAGAGGGTTCGGAAGAAATGCAGATGCCACGCAGCGCATGCGGCTCTGATTGGGCCGCACGGCAACATCCCCGTCACTGCTGTCACGTTCGATGGTTCTAGACAACTTTGTGCGGTGGGAAACCGAACTGCAGCTGTTTTTGCCTGAAAACCATGCCCGATCCCATTTGTTGCATGGTCGGTTGGATTCGCCTTATCGCGGACTTCAGTTTAGTATGTTTAAAAGTGAATTTCATTTTGTCCTTATTATAGGCGCATGCGCTTATACAGACACCTCAATTAGAAGCACACCCCCCCAAAAAACACTGTTTTATTATAAGCGCACCTGCGCTTTTATCCGGGGTAATACGGTACTGTATCAACTCAAATGAAAGCGTTTGGGCTGTCATTCCCTGGATAGTGTCAAGTGCGATCATTTCAATGGTGGTGAAGACTTCGTTTACCGTACCTCAGCATTCCAAAGAACCAAATTACTTTATAATCATTCCAATGTCCCTACTCTAGTCTTTCCATGATCCTCCTGATCCCATTGCTCCCATCCCATCTGTACAGAGGGCAGTGTACCACCGGTCCACCGGCCCCATTGCAGAGGCCAAGGAGCCCTCCGCCCCACCATGGATCGCACACTGCAGCGCACTCAGAGCCACCTTGGCACCCCACAATACAACCCCCCGCTGCCATGTTGCACAGAGAACAGCCTCGTCTTTCATGTGCCAAGCCTGTGAAGCGGAAAACAAAGATGGAGTGGCATGTGTGGTGAGAGCTGTGTCGCTATGTGCGCTCACAATGGGGTGGTGTGGATGGGTTGGTGGACAGGAAGGCTTGTTGGGCCATCAGATGCAAGTCCATCCTCATCACTTCCTCATCCCCGCCACACCCACCATCATTGACATGGCAATCATCGCATGCACACAGTACACACGCTCTGCAGCAGTGAAACCACATCTATGCCACCACCCCTGCCATGGCACTTGACAGCCCCAAACATGAGAGCCAGTGCGTGGCGTGCTGTTGCATGCATGGCATGAGGTGCAATGAGAAGAGGCCATTGGAGTTGGTTGAGCGCGCATCACGAATGTGAGATCCGTCTTGACACACTTGTGATGACCCATGTCATGCCATCATGCAGCAGCACTGCCATCACCACATGGCACTGCCATGCACGTGGCTCTACCAAGATGTCTTGGGAGGAGAGGGACACTCACATGGTCACCCACTCACATGGTCAGCCACTCACATGGTCAGCCACTCACACGGTCAGCCACAGCAGCACCATCCTTTGCTGCATGCCTCACATCTTCGCCTCTATCACTCCCCCGCTTGCCTCCTCTCAGCACACCTGCCCCCTTCCTGCCTCTACTCTTTGCCACAACCAGCAGCACACCGCCCAGCTGCTACTACTGCTGCTGCTGTTGCGGCGGCTGCTGTGAGAGGGCATGCGGTTCAGCAGCTGCCAGGGCAGCGCGCGCCTCATGTGCTCCACCGCCAGCCCCAGCAGCGTGAGCAGTAGCAGCACCACGCGCCGTTCCCCTTCCGTGCCCTCTCCCGCGTCCCCTCCCTCCGCCCCTGCCCCTGCCCGTGCCACGCATGCCCATCATCATGAGCCCCACGCCTGGGCCCCGGCCTCCATGCCCCAATCCAACCCCCCCTTTCAGAGCCCCCCTGCGCCGCACGCCCAGCGCTGGCACGCGCTGCGCCTTGTGCCCGCCCCTGCCCTGCCCGCCCCTGCCTGCCACCGCCCCCCCTGCCGCCCTGGCCGCCTGCTTCACGCCCCGCAGTGTGCCTCTCAATGATGCCCCCCCTGCTGCACGCGCTGCTGCTGATGGCGACCCGCCAGGCGAGGCAGGACTGGTGGGGGCGCAGGGGGGGGGGGTGGGTGCGTGGTGGTCAGGGGGAGGTAGGAGTGATGGGTACGGAAGGGTGAAAAGGAATTCAAGAGGAGCACATGGGAGGGGCGAGAGTGGTGGGAGAAGGTGCACGAGGAAGCGTGTGATTGGGAGTGCTGTGGATGGAGGAAGCATGGCCATTGTCCAGCGGCGAACATGGGCATGTGGCAAAGAGAGCAAGCGTCCATTCCATGGCACACATCACACGCTCCATGGGCAAGGGACGGTATGGACAGAACGGGAGAGAAACGTGGGAACGGATGGGGAAGGGAGAGAAAGGAGGCGGACGGGAGAAGAAGGGAAGGGGAGAGAGAAGCAAGGGAGGGCGCACCTGGGGGGTGAATGGTGAGAGTCGGATCGGTTGACGAAGAAGCCCGCTCGCCTTGCCTTGCGGTTGGAGGAAAAATACTCCTTCTGCCAACCATACGATGCCATGCCATGTGATGGCATGTGATGGCATGTGATGACATGATTAATTGTGTAATGATATCAAATGCATGCATGACAGTCCACCCATGCAGCAGCGCCCAACGTGAGTCACACGATAAGAAATGAAGCATAGTCTATGATAACCAGATGAAGCACGACGTGAAGCAAAACACGCCATGGGGTTAGGGCGAATGGGGTTGGCGAGGGTGCAGCGTGGGCGTGGGCGAGGGCGAGGGCGAGGGAGGGGGGCAGCGTACGAGGTCAGAGTCATCAATGAAGGGGTCGGCCGTGTCGTACTCCTCCTCCCACCCCCCGCCTTCCTCCCATCCCTCACACCCCTCCCAGCCCTCCATCCCTCCCCCCCTTTCCCCCTCGCCGCCCCGCGCTCCACCTGCCGCGCGCTGCCCCTCCGCACCCCTTTGTGCTCCTGCGGCTGCTCCCCCTGCTGCGGCGCGCCCATCGTGCATGTCGCCGTCGTCATCATCACTGTCGGAGCCCTGAGCGCACGCAGCAGCAGGGGAGAGCAGACGGGCATGCGAGTTGCGCAGGCGAGAGCGAGCAACGATGACCAATCAGTGTTTGGCATCATGTGGGAAACGACACCCGTCACGGTGCACTGGTCGCCACAACGCGACAACAAAGGAAGCCTGGAAGCGACGACTTGCCGCGTAGAGGCGCGAGATCTTGTCGATGACGGCGCTGAATCTGTTCCTCACTTCCGGCAGCGGATCAGCCAGCAGCGCCGCCGCCGCCTTCGCGGCCTCCCTGCCGCGCGCCGCCTGCACGCACGCCGACGCGGAGGCGCGGAGACGCGGGAAACGGAGAAGAGACAGGACAGGGGAATAAGGAAAACGTGGGTTGGTACAAACGCAGCGGTCTAACCAGGACAGCACGCGGAGCATGGGAGGAATCGAAAGCCCGGCTTCGTCGCGCATTGATACGAAGTGTGTCGCGCAGCACGAGAGGCCGCAGCCATGGAAGGAGCATTCGACGAGCGCAGCGGCGCCGGTCGGCATGGCGGAATCAGACGCACCAGCGAGGTCGCACTCCCCGCCTGCGCATCGCCTCCCGCTCGCTCCCTCTCGCCGTCGCCCGTCGCCGCTGCGCGATCCGCTTCGGCCTCGCTGCGACCTTCACCACTCCCCGCGCCTTCCGCCGACTGGAGCCCGGAAAAAAGCGGTACAAGAGGCGCGGAAGGCTGTGCGGGGGAAGCTTGTCGAAGAAGGTGCGCGTAGTTGATGTGCGTGGTGGCGAATGGGTCGAGACGCACGACGAGCCGCACGGACTCGCGATGTGCCGCCATGGCGGCAGGCCGATGGGGTCATGCAACGCCTATTAGCGCCGACGGACACCCTCAACGCTGACAGCGCGAAATTGCAGATAAAAGGAGAGGACGACTTTTGTACGCGCCAGGGCTAGAAATCAAGGGTTTTTAGCTACGGCGGAAGAGGTACTTCCGAACCTGCGCTTTCTATGGACCTTCTTCTCTACCTGCATACAGTTTCCCAGATTTCGCGGCCCAGACAGAAGACTTATTGCGCGAAGACAGAACTCGACTCCACATTTACCCACGTGTCATCATCTCGGTGCACAACATTATGTTGCCTTTCTATCCGCACTAAACTAAATCTCTCTCGGCTGGCAAGTGTAAGGGGCATCAACCCTAAACACCTTGCGACTAAGTGTTTAGGGTTGATGCCAAAACTAAATCCCTCTTGGCTGGCATGCTAATGTATGGCATCAACCCTAAACACCTTGTCGCGTGGTGTTCAGGGTTGATGCCCTTGAAAACTTCCCATCCGAGAGGGGTTTAGTTTTGTGCTTGCTGGCAGAAGAAGTCCGATGAGAACAGTGCTTGCGTGACGTGCGGAGAAGCCGAGTTCTGTGTTAGCACAATAACTCTTCCGTCTCAGAAGCGGATCAGCGGAAAGTGTGCGCAAGTTGATGTGAAAGTCCCTTGAAAGAAAGAAAGCTACAGTAAGCCTTTCGGATAAACAAAAAACCCAGAAATCAATTGGAGGAGCAAGAAACTGGTGGTGGTTGCAGTGTAAACGTGTAAGGAATTTTCTCGGCATTCCTTACGGAGCCCGACTACATCCCGTACAGCAACAGCCGTTGTTCGCCCGTTACTGCTAACGGGGCTTCGCCGACTTCGCGCGCACTGTTTCACCAAACCTCGCACTGCTGGCCTGGCCGTGTCGGCCTACGTTTCGGGACTAGCCCGAGCCTCGCTTCCAGCGTAGCACTAGCTATCTCGCACGCACCGCGTTACCGTTTGCATGTTTCGCGTATAAATGTTCGCTCATGCCTTCGCTCACATTTTGTACTCGTTTGACACCTTAGTGCAATTCTCGCTACTTCGATTCATTGCACCCGTAACACTTGGTATTCAGAGCCCCTTTCTTTCGGACCGCGCATCTCCGCACCCCAGGAAATCAACTTTTGATTTTTCACTCGAAGGGACTCACGTACCTTAGCACCTAGGAGCCGCTGTCCTCGCGTTCTCTCGTAAACGCGTGCAGCCACGACTGCGCCTAGACTAAGACGAGCCGACGCCCTTCGAAATGGCTGAACATATCGACGTCACGACTCTCACGCAGGAGCACTTGAACGATCTGCTGCGACAAATCCGCGAGAGCGCCGAGGAAATCGCGACGCTGATGGCAGAACGCTCGTCCCTGCAAAACGACCTCACACGGGCACAATCCCAAGCACCTGGCACTCCGATTCAGCCCGCACCACAGACATCACAGCACGGAAGTGTGGGGCAACCCGCGAGCGCCGCAAGTGATGGCGTCGTCCACCATGACGGAGACGACGACCACGGCACGACACACCCCGACGCGACGAATGCGGCCAGGACTCAGCCTCGAGTCACGATTTCGGTGCCGGCCGGCGAATCAACTCTTCCGTCGCCGATGTCGCTAAAGCCGCAGCGTCCGCCATGCTTTGACCCAAGTCAGCGGGGTGGTCCTACCGTTCAGGCGTGGCTCTTCACGTTGAACGTCTTCTTCGACGCGAACTACGTCTCGGAGGATACGGCGAAGATTCGCTACGCCGTGTCGTTGCTGCGAGGACCCGCCATGGACTGGTGGCGCGTCATCGTCACGAAGCCGGTGGACTACGCGACTCTACCGACACGGGAAGGAGAAACCGGACCCTGGGCGCCGTCGTATTTCATGGAGGTGCCCCAGTATCGCACGTGGGACGCGTGGTGCGCAGGTCTGCGCGCTCGTTTCGAGCCAATCGCGGCTTCGATCGCGGCGCGACAGAAGCTCCGCACTTGGCGCCAACTCGGTTCCGTCCAAGATTACACGAGCGGATTTCTGGCGCTATGCGAGCAGGTGGGATATGTGCACGAGAGCGAGCGCATCGACCGCTACATCGGCGGCCTGAAGCAGGACATCGCTCAGGAAATCCAGCTTCGCGGCGTCACCGACTTTCAAGAAATTCTCGCTATGGCGGAGAAACTTGACTTCTTCCGCCGACCGAGACCGGGGTCCTACGGAAGCAGCCATTGGGGACATCGGCCTCGTGGGACGAACGAGGGCGCCACGATACGTGCCGGCGCCGCAAATGCCGCTGCCGCACCGTTCAAAGGGCGCTGCTTTGCGTGCAATCGGCCGGGACATCGCAAGAGCGAATGCCCGGAAAACGCTAAGGGAAAGGGGGAAGCTGAGCAGCAGAAACAGACCAAGCAGCAGGGAAACGCTGGGAGTCAGTAGCAGACGGGCCCTCTACTGACAGGTCACGCCGCTCGCCCGACCCAACCGACCCTCACCGAGTGATTGTGCCGGTTCACGCAATCGACCACACTCGGCCGAATAAGGAGGGGACTACGGTAGACAGCCCCATACTGCTTAGTGGGAAAATCGGGACGGGGGGGGAGCTAGTCACAGCCTCATCAACACTGCTACAGCACGAAAACTGCGACTGCCACTGGACAGATGTTTACCTGAGATCGACGCACGACTGGTAGACGGCACGCCGCTGGCAATACGAGAACGCGTAGACCGGGTTCGGATTCGATGTGGGGGTAACTTCACGTTTAGCCAGGGAATGCTTGCAACGACCCTCGACGGAACCGACATTTTACTCGGGCGTGATTGGCTGCGACGACACAATCCGCGAATCGATTGGACGACGGGTGGCTGCACCGTGCGAGTGAACGGTAACAACATCGCCCTACCTCGCTGGGGCTCGCCTGAGTCTTCGTCGGTGCGTGTCAACGCGATCACGATGAAACGCGCCGTAGCGGCAGGAGCTAACGTGTACGTGGTCGACATTCGGGAAGCCGAGGCAGCAGACAAAGGAGGGGATTTACAGAAACTGCTGGCCGACGTACCGAGTGATCTGGCAGCACTGTTGAAGCAGTACAGCGACATTTTCCCGGACGATTTACCGACGGGACTGCCACCTCAGCGACCGCACGACCACAGGATAGAGTTAGAACCGGGGGCGCAGCCAACAGTACAGCGACAGTTCCGACTGACCCAGCCCGAACTGGACGAACTGAGGAAGCAGCTCGATTACCTGCTCGAGAAGGAGTTCATTCGCCCTAGTTCGTCGCCCTTCGCAGCACCGATACTGTTCACACCGAAAAAAGATGGGGGATTTCGCATGTGCATAGACTATAGAGCACTGAACAGGGTTACCATCAAATCCCGTTACCCCATCCCGCGAGCCGACGAACTGATCGACCAACTGCGCACAGCCCGGGTTTTCTCGAAAATCGACTTCCGAGGGGGTTACCACCAGATTCGCGTCAATCCGCCCGACTGCCCTAAGACCGCATTCCGAACACGCTACGGATCCTTCGAATACACCGTCATGCCCTTCGGACTGACCAACGCCCCCGCCACTTTTCAAATGACCATGAACGAAGCTTTCCGCCCGCTCTTGGATAAGTGCGTCATAGTATATCTGGACGACATACTGATTTCCAGCCCCGACAGAGCACAGCACTTACAGGACATCGAAGCAGTTTTTAAAATACTGAGTGAGAACCGCCTACTGACAAAAGCGTCCAAGTGTGAGTTTTTACAGGACCGCCTGGAATTTTTGGGACACGTTATTTCAACTGCAGGAGTGGAAACAGACCCGAAGAAAATTGCGACGATTCAAGCATGGCACGCGTCGACCAACTTGACCGAGTTGCAGAGTTTTTTGGGGTTCGTCAACTACGTGCGCCGGTTCGTCCCCGACATGGCGAAGCTGACTGCCCCGCTGACAGACCTGCTGAGGAAAGGGGTTGAGTACATGTGGGGGGAGAAAGAGCATTCTGCCTTCTCGGCCCTCAAAAACATTTTGTGCTCACCGCCCGTGCTTCACATCGCAGACCCACACCGTCCGTTCGAGCTCGTCACTGACACAAGTGACATCGCTGTGGGATCAGTACTGTTGCAGGATTTCGGGAACGGCCTCCAGCCAATCGTGTATGAGTCCCGCAAGCTGCACCCGCCCGAACGCAACTACCCGATACACGACCGCGAAATGTTGGCGATCGTGCACGCGTTCAAGGTTTGGCGGTGTTACCTGACTGGCGCCGACGTGACAGTACGGACAGACCACCGATCACTACAGTACTTACGCGCCCAACCGAATCTCAATCCACGACAGATTCGCTGGTTGGACTACCTCGAGTCCAACTTCCACTATACGGTTACGTACAAGAAAGGCGCATCCAACATCGCCGACGCACTCACCCGCCCTACCGCCCAACTCCACGCCATCCTACTCGCCCAGACCAACCCGCTTTTAACAGGCCTATTCACCCACGGATACCGCACCGACCCATTTTTCACGACTGGAAACTCACAGCAACTGGCAGAAGCTAAAGGGGTTTATTACGTAAAAACAGGCACCACCCGCATCTGGGTACCCGCGTACTCACTACTGAGGGAGCTGCTACTGCAGGAGGCACACGACGGAATTACCTCGGGACATTTTGGGGTAGAAAAAACGCGACAGCAACTGCAGCGGTATTACTACTGGCCGGAGCTGTTGACCGACGTGCAGCAGCACGTGGGCTCGTGCCCCACGTGTCAGGTGATGAAGAGCTCGAGGAAGCGGAAGGCGGGTCGATTGCAGCCGATACCACCGCCCGAGCGCGCCTGGCAGCAGGTCACCATGGACTTCGTCACAGGGTTACCTTCGAACCCTGGGGGTAACGACGCGGTGATGGTCGTCGTTGACAAGTTGACGAAGATGGCACACTTCGCTGCGTGCAAAAAGTCGATCTCAGCCGAGGAAACCGCTCGTCTGTTCATCACAGCCGTTGTTCGCCTGCACGGGATACCAGCAGCAATTATCAACGACAGGGACACGAAGTTCACCAGCAACTTCTGGAAGAACCTCTGGGAGCAGTTCGGGACCAGGCTACAGTTCAGTTCGTCGTACCACCCCGAGACCGATGATCAAACGGAGCGGACGAATCAGACGATGGAGCAGTTGATTCGTGCCACGTGCGACGACCCCATGACCTGGGAGCAGCAGCTGCCGCTGATCGAGTTCGCGTACAATAATGTCACGTCAGCGACGACGCAGCAGTCCCCCTTCTACCTGAACTACGGGCAAAACCCTACAGTGCCCATGACGCCGAGTCCGGACAACCCAACACCACGTGCACAGCAATTCGCCGAAATTCTGCAAGCTGCCCGCACCAGAGCCGCAGAAGCAATTAAAAAAGCAAACGTCATCGCTAAGCGCAACGCTGACCGCCACCGCCGCCCAGTCACATACCAGTCAGGTGATTACGTACTACTCGACACGCAAAATCTGCGACTGCCCGACGTACCAAAACTCCGACCGCGCTACTGTGGCCCATTCCAAATCAGCCACATGATCACGCCAGTAACCGCGCACCTACTGTTACCGACCGACTGGTACATCAGCCCTTCGTTCCACGTCAGCTTGCTTCGCCCCTACATCCCAATCACAAGCCAACTGCCTCGCCACCGCCCGCCATCCATGACTCGCCCTGCATCGGAGCCGATCATCGCGCCCGATAAAATCCTGAGCCATCGGATTCGACACCCCACGGGAATTAAGAGGATTGAATTCCTCGTTCGCTGGAAGGATCGCACGCCAACCGAGGACAGCTGGGTGCCCCTGGCCAACATCGAAAACCACCCTGCCCTGCAAGTGTACCTGAGGAGCCGGGGATTCCGCGATATACACGCACTCGCGTAGCGGAGGGGGCTTCTTGAGGGGGGGGGGTAGTGTAAGGAATTTTCTCGGCATTCCTTACGGAGCCCGACTACATCGCGTACAGCAACAGCCGTTGTTCGCCCGTTACTGCTAACGGGGCTTCGCCGACTTCGCGCGCACTGTTTCACCAAACCTCGCACTGCTGGCCTGGCCGTGTCGGCCTACGCTTCGGGACTAGCCCGAGCCTCGCTTCCAGCGTAGCACTAGCTAGCTCGCACGCACCGCGTTACCGTTTGCATGTTTCGCGTATAAATGTTCGCTCATGCCTTCGCTCACATTTTGTACTCGTTTGACACCTTAGTGCAATTCTCGCTACTTCGATTCATTGCACCCGTAACAAAACGATACAAAATGGACTCAACGTGAACTGGCGAACGCGTTGACGTTTTCGCCAGCTGTTCGGGATTCTTCGAGATCAGGTTGCCCATGCTGTCGCCAGAATTCGAACGAGATCCAACACAATCTCGGGCCAGTCCCGCAGTCCAGCGCCTAAACATCCTCTCTGCGGCACCTAACTGTGGCACCACCGTCGCGGATCGCGGCGCGTGTGGCGGGCCGCACTGCACACAGCTACCGAGAGATACCCACGAAGAGGCGTCGAGATACCGAGAGGCACCCACGCAGCGCCATCGGGCTCATCCGCCGCAGCTAGCAATCACGGGCCTCGGCATCCGCGCACGACATCGCCGCGACTCACTCACTCACTCGGACGGTGCGTGCGATCCCACCGCGCGCCGCTCACAGCCTCGCCTCGCCTTGCCTTGCTGTCCCATTCGCCGCGCCGCCCCACCCACGCTCGTCTCTGCCCGGCGCTCCCCCGCCGTCGCACCCCCACTTCCCCGCTTTGCCTGCCTCCCCGCCTTCCACGCCGCCCACCTCGTCCCTCACGCCCACTCACCACTCGCGCCCCGCGTGGGGCCGCTTTCCTTCCGCGTCCCCTTCCGTCGAAGCACCCCAAGTGACGCGTTGCTGCTGAGATCGCCCCATCCAGCGCGCCAAGGCCCTCTCTGCCCTGCTCCCTCTCCCCACGTGCCGCCTGCAGCTGTCACCGCTACACGGCTCCACTGCGCCCGCTGCTCCTGCCACACGCAGTGTGTGCTTGCGACTTGTTGACCACTGCTGAAGCGAGCCTCTCATCAGAGCATCAACAGCAGCAGCACCACTACCAGCAGCAGCACCACTTCCAGCAGCAGCAGCACCAGCATCATCTACAGCAGCGGTGTCCGGGCGGGGCGGGGGGGTGGCAGCATGCTGTACGTGGTGGGCGTGGGGCTGTGGGACGAGAGTGACATCACCGTCAGGGGCCTGGCGGCCGTGCGGGGCTGCCAGCACGTCTTCCTTGAAGCCTACACCTCCATGCTGCTCGTCGACAAGGCCAAGCTGGTGCGCACTGCTGCTGGGGCTGCTGGAAAGGGATAGTGATTGCTTGATTGATTCACTGCCGCATTGACTCTCCATCACCTTGAATGAACGCTTGCTGTGATGCTGTGATTCTCTGATTCTCTGATTCCGTGATTCTGTATTTTGTGATTCTGTCATGATGTGTGCGGTGAAGCAAATGAGGACCGCCTCGCACGGCCCCTTCGTGCTACATGCTCCCTCTATAGCCCCCTCGACGTGCCATACGGCCACCCCTCGCTGCGGGTGCACCTCTTTCGACGCTCTTGCTTCCTCCTCTCATCCCTCCTTCCTCCTTCCTTTTCACATGCTCCCCACTTCCTCTTGTCGCCCCTCCTTCCCCCGCGCCCTCCTGGTCTGGGCGGGCAGGAGGCGCTGTACGGGAGGGAGGTGAGGGTGGCGGACAGGGAGATGGTGGAGAGCCGTGCGGGCGACCTGCTGCACCTGGCCGCCAAAGAGGACGTCGCCTTCCTCGTTGTCGGCGACCCCTTCGGGTGCGTGCCACGCACGGGTGCTGCCATGTGTGGGCGCATGTAGTGGTGTGCGTGACGGCATGCGCGGGTGCATGTAGTGATGTGTGGGATGTTAGGTGCGTGTGAGTACCCGATTGTTAATGGCATGTGAGGTCCCTCTCTGCTCTCTCGGCACCACCCATGAGGCCCGCTGCGGCAAGCGAGGATAGTGCATCAAGGGCAAGGAGCTGCCCGAGCGGGCACCTTCTTGCACAAGCGCGTGGAGCTGAGGGGTGGATGCAAGGCCTTGCCAGTGGGGAAGTGGTCCGCTGGTCCGCTGGAGCCTTGGTTCACTCACTCACCGCACTCTCCTCGTCTTTAAATCTTCTCACCGTGCACTCCCCCTCCCTCCGCCTCTCCCGCCTGTGCCCCGCCTGTGCCCCACCCCCAGTGCCACGACGCACACGGATCTGATGCTGAGGGCGAGGCAGCAGGGCGTGGCGGTGAGTGTGGTGCACAACGCCTCTGTGCTCAACGCTGTTGGCGCCACCGGCCTGCAGCTCTACAGGTGAGCGTGGCATATACTGGCAAGCATAGCAGAGGGTGTGGCAGTGAGTGTGGCTGTGAGTGTGGCAGTGAGTGTGGCAGCGAGTGAGTGCACAACAAGCTTCAGTGCTCATTGCATGTCTCCCCACTCACTTCCTTGTGCCATTCCTGTGTCATGTTCTGTGTCACCTTCTGTGACGCCCTCTGTGCCACCCTGTTCTCAGCTTCCGCGAGGCGGTGTCCATCCCATGCTGCATCCCGCCACCCTTCTCACCTCTCACCTCCGTGCATCCCGCCACCCTTCTCACCTCTCACCTCCGTGCATCCCGCCACCCTTCTCACCTCTCACCTCCGTGCATCCTGCCACCCTTCTCACCTCTCACCTCCGTGCATCCCGCCACCCTTCTCACCTCTCACCTCCGTGCATCCCGCCACCCTTCTCACCTCTCACCTCCGTGCATCCCGCCACCCTTCTCACCTCTCACCTCCGTGCATCCCGCCACCCTTCTCACCTCTCACCTCCGTGCATCCCGCCACCCTTCTCACCTCTCACCTCCGTGCATCCCGCCACCCTTCTCACCTCTCACCTCCGTGCATCCCGCCACCCTTCTCACCTCTCACCTCCGTGCATCCCGCCACCCTTCTCACCTCTCACCTCCGTGCATCCCGCCACCCTTCTCACCTCTCACCTCCGTGCATCCCACCACCGCCGTGCGGTGCCGCTACCCCATTCGGCGCTGTGATGGTGTCCTCTCAGGTTCGGCGAGACGGTGTCCATCCCGTTCTTCACGGACACGTGGCAGCCCGACAGCTTCTACGACCGCATCCTCGGGAATGCCGCCAGGGACCTCCACACACTCTGCCTGCTCGGTAACCCACCACGCGCTTGCTCTGCCCCTCCTGCCTCCATCCCTCATGCCAGCCTCTCTGCGCGGCGTGAGGGATGCACAGCGTGCTGAAGGCCCGAATGGGTGCACAGCATTTCGTTGCTTGCAGCTTGTCGTATGGCATCTGGTGATTCGAATGGGTGCCATGGGCCTGAAAGCATGCCTGTGCTTGCACACTTGTGACTCCGCCACCCTGACGTGCTCATGCTTTGTCTGTCTCTCGTATTGTCTCTCTTCTTCTTGCCTATTCTCTCCATTCCCCCTCGTCATTCCTTGTTGTCATTTCTCCTCATCGTTTCTCCTCATAATTTATCCGCACCCCATTCATCCCCTCCGCCAGACATCAAGGTGAAGGAGCCATCGCTGGAGGCCATGGCCAGGTGAGGCTGGGGCAGGTGACAAAAGATTCTGGGAACAGATAAAACCTGTTGAAAGCTGGGGCTCATAGAAACTGACAGATCCTTGTCGATCATTCCATGGGCGCATGTCGTTGCATGCACCGGGCCGTGTCTCTGTCGCTGCATGCTTCCCCACGACGACCAGACGTACTTCCCTCTTTTCCCCTGCTCTCTGCTTTCCTCTCACTCCCGAGGCTCACCTCACCAGATGCAAAACCAAAGCCATGCTTTCTTCCCCCTCTTCCTCCTCCAACTACTCTCTCTTGTAAAATGTGCCGCTCGTGGTGGTGGTGGTGGCAGGGGCAGGATAGAGTACGAGGCGCCGCGCTACATGAGTGTGAACACGGCCATCTGCCAGCTGCTGCTCGTGGAGGAGAAGCGCCACCAGCAAGGTGAGGCGTGCTCACACGCTGCTGCTCTCGTCACCTCTGGTCCGCTGCTCCAGCCCGCCAAGTTTGAAACCAAAAGCAGCTGCCACTACTCCCCCCACCCCACACCTCCCTCACACTCTCAGCATTCGCCACAACCACCTCTCGTCTCCTCTTCATTCCTCACACCCTTCTTCCCCTCACCCCCCCATTCTCACCGCATCCCTGGCAGTCTGCACACCAGACTCGCTGTGTGTGGGAGTGGCACGGCTGGGTGCGGACTCGCAGTGCATTGTGTTTGGCAGCATGCAGCAGCTCTCAGACGTTGACTTGGGCCCGCCTCTGCACTCGCTGGTGCTCTGCGGCGCGCTGCACGAGCTTGAGAGGGACTTCCTGGACGCCTTCAAAGTCACCGATGCCACGCCCAGGATCGTGGAGGGCTCAGAAGGAAGCGAAGAGGAGGAGAGCGAGAGGCCCATCTTGTGAGCGGTGCCCAATATAGCTGGGTGAGATTGTTTTAATACTCTGGTTTCCAGAGCAAATCTTCTGTACCAGAACCATTTTTCAGGCCCACAAAACCCATTCTCTACGGTCAACCTTTCTAGCGGTTCTCTAAGGCGAGGGGACTATCTTGGTTAGAGTCGTGTTACAATCCTAAAAAGGACTTAGCCAGGTATCGGCTCAGGGTTGTTCGCAGGTACCGGCATCGCCCGGATAGAAGACATATGTGTCTCATCTCATGTAGGATTGAATCTAGTAATAAAACCCAATGCGTGTCTTATAAATCTTATGAATGGAGTGGTTTGTTTTTGTATTATCGCACATACCGGGACACGTAATCAAGAGTTCCTTTTTTGTTTGGCAGGATCAAGAACCCTACGGGGGACCGTTTCCTTGTCCCCATCCAATGTTTGGCATATTCGCCTACACTTGGCAGCATTTTACATCCTCTACATCAAGTGGGTGGCTCTGTTCCAAGGACATCCTCTGCAGTACCATTCCTCTACGTGACTCGCCCTTAGGAGAGGGGGTCCAAGGTCTACCGCATCAGTGTGCTCATTCTGCACTTTGAATCCCTTCTCTCCTCATGTTTCCTAACGTTTCTCGCCACGATGCGTAGCAAGCAGGCTGCTGGGCTGGGCCTGCTGTGTACGTCGCTAACAGCGGGCGCATCAATTCGCTTGGTGACGATATCACCATCTGCGTTCGGGCGCATCAATTCGCTTGGTGACGATATCACCATCTGCGTTCAAGGCAACACGGCGAAGAGCGGTGGGCGTAAACACTGGCCGTCAAAAGCACGGTCGCGAGCTGCGAGGGTTCTGATGTTGCCAGTATAGAAGAAGACGAGGAAGAATGGCCCGAGGACGGGCGCTATGAGGAAGACGACGAAACCGCTGATGTGGAGAGGCGGACATTGAGGAGGAAGAGCGGTGGAACCGTGAGTACGCCGGTGAGGAGGTCGAGGAGTGGCACGCGAGTGACAGCGAGCACGGGAACGTCGGCGATGAGGGGAAGGCGGCGCCCGACGCCACCGCTGAGATGGAAGGTGATGCTGAGGCGACTGACGCGGACGCCAATGCTGATGTCGCTGTGACTCCAGCTAAGGAGGATTCGGCTACGATCCGTGGAGCATGGACGATGTCCCCCTATTTCGGAGGTGCGTCAAGCACCACGTTGACAAGGGGACCAAGCCCAGACCCACATCCGCTAAGAAAGGGAAGGTACAGCTTGGTGGGGGTAGCAGCAAGGGGACCCGTGGCAAGGCGAACGTTAACAAGGGGGGTGGCAAGAAGGATCCTCGCAAGGGGAAACGTGGCAAGGCGATAACCAACGAGGGTTGCAGCAAGGGGGATGGAGGCTATGGCGAAGCCGAACCATGCTCGGATGAGGACTACGCTGAAGCAGCAGGCCCCTTACCTACCTACCCGGAGCAGTGAAAGCCTAAGGACCCACGTGACAAGAATCCAAATGCTCGGACCCCGTCACCTTGTGGCCCGTCAAACGGACGAGGCGACCCTGGTCTGTAAAGGAGAAGGTCAAAGGGCGCTGAGGTACGGCGAGTTGGAGTCGCTGAAGAAAACCGCGCTGGAGGCTGGCGCTTCCGTGGCCAAAATACGGTGTTGGGTCGGGCAGAAGGAGAGCGGCGTATTCAAGGGTGCCGCCAGCAGTCAGAAACGCATGCATGGTGCAGGGCGCCACTCTCACCACCCCAACATGGAGGAGGCGCAGTATCGCTACATCTGCATCAACCGCTCCAAACGAGTGCCAATTTCCGTGAAGGACATGAAGGACTGGATTCGCACCTGGATGAAGAAACACCGTCCTGGGACTGCTTGGATCGCATCCTCTCATTAGGTCCAGCAGTTTAGGGACCGGCGGAACCTTGTCATCGGAGTGAAGACGAAGGTTGGTAAAAAATGTCCAATGGTGAGTCCTCTCCTTATGGCGCTTCCGTTATACCACCAGTGCAAGTTTTTCACGGCCTTGAAGCTCGCAAGCACACCTAAAATTGAAACCTTATCCTCTCATTTGTCTTTTGTCTGTGCTCTTTTGTCTGTGCGCAGAATGTGCCAAGGATTGCAAGGTCATTTGGAGATTTTTGCGCACCAACCGCGCTCGGCACACCATTGACCTGTCACGCATCATCAATGCGGATCAAACGCCACTCTTCGTCGAGATGCCTGCCGTGAGGATAGTTGAGCACCGAGGGACGCGGTCCGTGCCTATCAGGACGGTGGGTTATGGGAAACAATGACTGACTGTGATGCTAGCATGCACTGCTGCGGGGGGAAAGGCTTCGGCCGTGGGTGTGGTTCAAACTGAAGAATGTTCCAAACTGCGACATTCCAAAAGGTAAGCATACGACAATCTCTGTGTCTCCACTCTCTGAATGCCGAATCCGGGAATGGTGTGCTGGCTATTGTCTGACTTGAGCTGCATTGACGTCCATGCATCGTGGCGCAAGCACAAGGCAACGGTTGGATGGATGAGGCGGCCGTGAGCGCGTGGCTCACCCGTGAAATCCTGCCTTTCCTTAAATCGGAGAAGGGGAAACCAGCCAAGCGCGCGCTTCTTGTGCTGGACTCATACCAAGGGCACATCACCGGCATGCTAGCAGCGTACCGCACCCACAGCATCGTGCCAGCCATCATCCCAGCATGCTGCACCCCGCTGATTCAACCGCTGGATGTGTCAATCAACCAGGCCTTCAAAGCTGGTTTGCGTGCGTGGTATTACCGGTGGTTCATGCAGCACGGCATTAACATGCGCACCCCAAAAGGTGACTTTGGATTCTGCTCGTGCGATACTTTTGTTTGGATTTGGCAGCTGCGTTGTTGTTGCTTGTCTTGGTCTTGGGAGGAAACCGCAAGCGCCCAGCGTGTTGTTCCCTGCTGGTGTTTGAATTCTGATGATGCGCTGTTGTTGCTTGTCTTGGTCTTGGCAGGAAACCTCAAGCGCCCGCCGCATGCCGTTGGTGCTCCAGTGGATCGACGAGGCATGGGATGATGTCCCGAGCGAGATCATCATCAAGGTCTTGACGGCAAGGAGGACCACCTCGTCTTGGCCCACCAGCATGAAAGGAGCACGACCAATGTCTCGGAGGACATGTCGCTGCGGGGGACAACGGGTGACAACAGTGGGATTGTGGGGAGAGACGTTACCATTGAGGTAACAGAGGAGGACCTTATGGCCGACTTTGAAGAGGACGTGGTGCCCCCTGCAGCCACTGGGACTTCAGCCACTGATGACCCATACCCCGATACCGCGAAGTACAGAAGAGCAGCAGCAGCAGCAGCGAATAAGCTCGTAAAGCCTAAAGAGACCGCCGTGTGAGGATCCCAACCACTAGACCATTGGGATAAAAGGGCTTGTTTGTGTAGCGGCTGAGTGCGCCCATAACCCTCCAGGCCAACGTGCCTGTAACCCTTCCCTAGGATCAATCGGGGACCACAAGTGGACCTCTGACACGCCGCACATGCATGGACAGTAGCAGGAGCAGCACAAGATGGCCTTGCATCCCGTGCTCGAGTCACATATGTTGAATGTGTGACAGCTGCATGATAAAAAACACTTAATGCGGTATTTTCTCTTGATCGGATATGATGTAACTACGTATTTGAATGTCTTGCTGCTATGAAACCTTTCACCCCGTTTAGAAGACACCCCGAGGGAGGAGTGGGGGGGGAGGGAGGGGGGTTAATCTTATCTCATATAGCCGGAAGGGTGTCTTATAAACAAAAGTTCCTATTATAAGAAAAAACCTGTTTAAAAGACACTATGTCTTCAGTTCAACACTATCTTCTATCAGTGTGATGACTGTTATGAGTTGTACAAAAAAAAAGCACGCGGAATACTATATAAAAAAGGATGAACTTCATAATGACGAGATAATGAAAGAACCGAGCATTTATACGGCGAATACGTGCTCGGCAAGAACCTCGTGACGTGCGAGGGTTGGATGTGTTGCGATTGGTGCGGGGCGATTCGATAGTGGTTCGGGCCGAAGAGTAGGCCGAACAAAAAACTAACGCAAAGTGCTCGGGTTTAGGGTTTAGGAGCAGACTCAGTAATATATTTATTACACTCTCCCACTTCTAGATAAGGCCTCCTTATACGTACCCGAGTATTGTAGTAGCGTGAAAAGTGGCGATCTTTGGTTGTAACTGATCTGACGGCGTAGAAAGCGTTGACTGTCAAGTTGACGCGAGGCTGACTAGTGGACCAAGCGATTCTGAAAAAGAGTTGGAATGTCAGCCGTTGATACTGTCGATGTCGATTGGGCGGTCGAAAGCCGAGATGAAATCCACCGATTAATAAAAACCGTAGATGTGGTGGATGCGCGTCGGACGGTAGAGATGATCGCGAAAATGGCGGGAATTCTGATGCGTTGTGAGAGGCCGACGAACAAAAACCGTCGATGTCGTTGGATGGAATCACGAATGTTCATCGTGCTGCACGAGTCTGACTACAACGCCAGAAACTGCCAAGTACAGTGCGAAAGTACTCTTTCTCCCCCCCCCCTTGAAGAAATGGGTAGGCCACTACTATAATACAACTGCGTGGGCAGAAAATCTAACCATCCTGTATGGCGGGGGTAATTCGAAGTACTAGGTGTTATGGACCCTGTCGAAATGTTAGCAATTGCATTGTCGAAAGTTGTCGGTGGCGAAATATCACTCCTGAAAAACTCCGAAACAACCCTGAGTAAACTCTGTCGAATCCCGTCGTATAATTTCCCCTGATGGAAAGTTTCTGTCAAACTTATATGCTATAGTCTGTGTAGGCTGTAGTGGGGTAGACAATATGGGGTACAACATTTCTAGGTTTTCCTACTTGTACCCACCTCTTTCCTAGTTCATTCATTCCTCATTTCTTCACATGGTATAGAGCAGGTTCCCTAGTGGGAACGCTTTCTAGGGCCCACCACTGAAATCGATTTTTTTTCTGACCGGAGCGCGAGTCGCCCCTGCCCGAGGCGCGCC